CAACAATAAATGTGCAAAATAACGACGAGATGTGTTTTTAATACAGCATTATGGCTAAGGATGTTACTGCATCAAACCCCAGTCGTGTTACACATTATCAGAATGTACCGAGCCGACACAATTTCTCGAAAATTACTTTCCCCACACCATTATCTGAGGTGAAACAATTTTAATTAATTCAAATTCAAAACAATATGGGTAATGGCTTATAATATTTTCACTTTTTTTTTTTTTAACTTAAAATGCAATATTATATAATTTTGATTTAGCAAAAAAAAATTTAAGAACACAATTAGGAGATGCGCGAGAAACTTTTACAAAGTTAGCTGAAACCAACGCACAAAAGCTGAGTGTAAGTAATAATAAAAATATTTGTGTAGACATTTGTTCAATTATTTTGATAAAAGTTTGGTTGTGAAGCTGAATTAAACTCTGTTAGAAGTAGCAAGAGAAGTTAGCTCCACCGAAACATAAACAATAACATTGTATGAACATTTTTCACACTCATTTATTTCTTGGAGGATTTTTGAGACTGGGTCCGAAGTAGTGTGTTTTGCAAGCTAGCTGCAACAGCTATAACTATTTTTGAGTGTGCTTAATTTATTACGCAGAGCTAACAATAAGTTATCACATCTAAGCTCTTTCACCTGGCTACCAAGATCAGAGAGGCTCATATTCAAAGATGCAAATTGTGCTTCTTGAGAATCAATAAATTTTTTTATTAGACGCTAGATTACTTGATTGGGACTAATTAAGATCTGAAAGCGCTTTCATTATGTCTTCATTAAAATTTATTCAAATTTTACCAAAGTAAATGTGGCATTTGCAGTTTTGCAAGAAATACAATAAAGGAATAAAAGTAATTCCTGATATGATTTGTGTGGTACATACAATATTTTTTGTGTATTAAGATTCCTTATTCTAAAGGGTGTTGTTTATTTTTGTGTATTAGTAAGTTAGTTAGTTACTTGTCCTCATTGTCAGCCGTCAACGGTTTGTCCAGATTCTCGCCTCCTTGAATACTTCGTTGCCGTGGAGTAGCGTCTAACCTAAACCGGTATTACATTATGATGTTACAGCTTTATTAGCTGAATCGACTTACTTGTCCTCATTGTCAGCCGTCAGCGGTTCGTCCAGACCCTCTTCGTAGTCAGTAAATTTTTAAGAGATACCACAATCCTCTATCCTTCAGTTCTTAGAATTATATATAAAAACAAAAATTGACTAGAAACTAGCTAATTTCTTCGCTTTTTGACAACTACGGATTTCTTCCGGATCTTCGTTTTTTAACCGTCTGTCATCATTCTATTCATTGCGTTTGCAAGTTGAGAAATGGATTGACTTAAGCTCTGAAAATACAACTTTAAACTAAAAATGAGAAGAGATCATAATAATACAATTTTTTTGTTTTTATATATAATTCTAAGAACTGAAGGATAGAGGATTGTGGTATCTCTTAAAAATCTACTGACTACGAAGAGGGTCTGGACGAACCGCTGACGGCTGACAATGAGGACAAGTAAGTCGATTCAGCTAATAAAGCTGTAACATCATAATGTAATACCGGTTTAGGTTAGACGCTACTCCACGGCAACGAAGTATTCAAGGAGGCGAGAATCTGGACAAACCGTTGACGGCTGACAATGAGGACAAGTAACTAACTAACTTACTAATACACAAAAATAAACAACACCCTTTAGAATAAGGAATCTTAATACACAAAAAATATTGTATGTACCACACAAATCATATCAGGAATTACTTTTATTCCTTTATTGTATTTCTTGCAAAACTGCAAATGTCACATTTACTTTGGTAAAATTTGAATAAATTTTAATGAAGACATAATGAAAGCGCTTTCAGATCTTAATTAGTCCCAATCAAGTAATCTAGCGTCTAATAAAAAAATTTATTGATTCTCAAGAAGCACAATTTGCATCTTTGAATATGAGCCTCTCTGATCTTGGTAGCCAGGTGAAAGAGCTTAGATGTGATAACTTATTGTTAGCTCTGCGTAATAAATTAAGCACACTCAAAAATAGTTATAGCTGTTGCAGCTAGCTTGCAAAACACACTACTTCGGACCCAGTCTCAAAAATCCTCCAAGAAATAAATGAGTGTGAAAAATGTTCATACAATGTTATTGTTTATGTTTCGGTGGAGCTAACTTCTCTTGCTACTTCTAACAGAGTTTAATTCAGCTTCACAACCAAACTTTTATCTAAAGGCTTTGAATACATTAAAAATGAATTACTCAAATACCTTATCTTCTATAAACAATATTTGTTTTTGATGACACCCTTGTTAAACAATCATTGGATTCTCAACACAGTCTATACTGCGACCACGTTAAGACGATGACCGGGCGGCGGACGCGTTTTCGTTCGTTTCGGTCAGATCCCTGTCCCGTAATCTCTATACAATAATGCCACGCATCTGATTGGCTAGCCGGTTTTTTACCGTTACAAAAACATCTGTTTATACAGCTGCAAGCCAAATAACAACGTTATACACCGTGTTGTAGTCATCAGCGTACGTGGTATTGTACTCTTTGGTGAAAATATTTTTTGCATATTATATTAATTGTTAATTGTTGTGTGTCATTTAATTTTTTACTATGGATAAATACTATCAATCACCTGTGAAAAAAAATCCGTCAGGAAAAGTAATCAGCAGTGCTCAAAAACAAATGATTGTTAATCTATATAAGTCAAAGATGTCTGAGGTACCTAATATTAAGTATAGGGATTTGATGTCCTTAATTTCTAAAAATCTGGGGATTGGTATAAACCGTGTTCGCATGACCATATCCGAATACAAAAAGAATAAATTTGTGACATCACCAAGCCGTAGAAGAAATCGTCAAGGGATCTGTGATAAAGTCGGTGACTTTGACAAAAATACCATTCGCAGGAAGGTACATCAGTTTTGGTTTAATAAAGAAATGCCGACGATTTCAAAAATATTAACGGCTGTTAATGAAGATGACTTATTGCCAAATTTGAAACGTAAGTCTTTACGAAAAATATTGAAGAGTTTACGTTTCAAATTTTGTAAAAGAAACAGGAACAGCATTCTGACAGAAAGAAAAAATCTTGTTGCATGGCGTCGAAACTATTTGAGGTCCATTAAGCAGTTTAGAGAAGATGGGAGACCAATCTATTGTTTAGATGAAACCTGGTTGAACACTGGAGATTGTGTAAATAAGGTTTGGGTTGACGAAGCCGTTACATCGCATAGAATGGCCTTTCTGGAAGGACTATTAACCGGCCCTTCTAATCCTACAAACAAAGGGAAAAGATTGATCATTTTACACATTGGATCAGACGACGGGTTTCTACCAGGTGGCCTCTTGTGTTTCGAATCAAAAAAGAACACAAGGGACTACCACGATGAAATGAACGGCAAAACATTGCAAGATTGGTTTGAAGAAGTACTGCCACTTCTTAAAACAAATGCTGTAATTGTGATGAATAACGCTCCATACCATTCTGTGAAGACCGAAAAAGTGCCAACAACAGCATGGAAAAAACAATCGATTGTCGATTGGCTAATTTCCAAAGGAGAAAATATCAATCCTTCTGAAATGGTGAAAGTGAATCTAATGCAAATTGTTCAACGTCTTAAGCCAAGGTAATATATTTTTAATAATTATATAAAACAAAATTTAAATAAAAAAAGTAGAATAAATATTATTTGTGATTATACAAAAAAAGTTAATACATTTGTTAAATAATCATGATACACTCTGTATAATATAAATAATATAATATGATTGTTTTTTCTAGTTTCAATTCGTATTTCATCGACGAAATCGCTAAGAAGGACAACAAAACTGTTCTTAGACTCCCGCCTTACCATTGCGAATTAAATCCAATCGAGCTGGTTTGGTCACTGGTAAAAGGCTACGTTAAAGCAAATAACACAATGTTCAAACCAGAGGACGTCAAACACCTGTTTTATAAAGCTCTCGACAGAGTTAAAAAGGAAGATTGAGTTTCTTTTATTGATCATGTTAAGGAGGAAGAAGTTAAATTTTGGAAAGTTGATTTTATTTTTGATGAGCTCGTTAATAACGCTGTACCCAATCCCGATCATGTACTGACAATTAGAAACTCATCCGAGGAATTATCTGATGAAGACGATGACGATGTTGACAATATTTAATTAATGTATAAATAATGTAATTATGTATATCATAATGTTTCAAGTGTGAATTATTTATATAAATACATTTTTTTTAAATATATATTTTATTAGTATTTATACAAGTATTTGATTACGGTAGTATGAAAGAAATTTTCACATTACTATTGGTTCACTTAAATTATTTTTTTAAATATAACATTTTAAATATAATATTTTATATATATGGTCATCGTCTTAACTTGGTCGCAGTATACATTCCGTCATCTACAATCACACAATGTGACACTTTACACGGATTCTATTCACAAATAACAGATGCCATTTATTTTATGTTAAAAAGGCTCTTTAATAATTATTTATTTATTATGTGAGTAATTGTAATATTAATTCTAGGTATTTGAAGAAACTCATACTTTTCTCTAAGTATTTCTTCAAATACTTAGAGTATTTGAAGACACTTATATTTCGTCTGACTGTTCAATACCAGCAACTACTGACACTACTGACAAACATGAACCAAATAACAATATCAGTAATTGTGATGATATTCTTACTCTAAGTAATTCAACAGTTTACAGTAAAACAGTAAGAAACCATGATTAGTATTAAAGAGAATAGTATGATATAAAATTAGTAATAGTATAAAGTAAGAATAATAATCATGATATTATTGTTATATCGATCAACGAACGTGTAACGCGACAGTACCCTTCACAGACCTCTTCAACTGACGTACCCCAGGAAGTCAACGACAATAATACTTTAAAAAAGTAAGTGTTTAACAACTTCTATTTTTTTTCTACTCCACAAGTTTATTTATATTAAGTTTATTGAATTCTGTTAGCAGTTCAAATACAACATCTACGAAGTCAAAGATGCAGCCAAACTACTTTATTAACAAAACTACTGCAGGCGAGTATGAGTTATTGGACATATAAGTCGATCAAACTGATCGAGAGATATTTATCGAACAGTTTGGCGAGCCGGAAGCAGTCTTGGATAATGAAGGGTATTTGCATGATATATTTGAGGATAGTGAAGAAGAAGAAAAACAAACTGGTCGTTCGTCTTCAGTATACGATTCTCAAGATGAAAGCGAATCAAAAAGTACGTAATTAATAATAATAATGTTTATAAGTATATATATATATATTTATTTTTTGAAGTATATTAATTTTTTTTATCATACTTATAAAACTTTTTTGTTATTTTCTAATTAATATTAGTTAATTAATTATATCTGTTTTTAAATATAGTGGAAACCCGCGTATTTGGCGAACACGCCGCTGACTATACTCCGGTCCATCCATCCCACCTATATGAATGTTCAAGAAAAAATGGAAACATATTTGGTTGAATGGTCTCTAGAAGACAGCGGTGCGATGAGTGACCTATGTTGGCGTATGTCATTCCCAGGCTTGGCAGACAGCTATAGAAATTTGGAGCGAATTTATGCCGGGGCGTACGACGTTGACAATTTCAGGGAAAACGCTTGTGAGCACCCAAAATTATACTATAGTTATTTTCAATAAAAAACAGTAGCATCCTTATTAAATCATCCGAGAACACTAATATCTTTTAGGGGGATGGTTCGGGCAAATTTCTAGTGTTTTTTTTCATTTCGGGTAGTAGTATTATGTTTGGAGATGTGGGGCACCAATTTTATCTTGAGCAATTATAAATGTGGGTCTGTTAGCAGTATAAATTTAGAGAGGACTACGAGAAGAAATTACTATATCTGCAATTACTTCAGTAGTGGACCTTGAACGGGTTGCCTCATGGAAACAAATTTTCCGACCAGCGCACCTAATTAGACTTAACAAACTTAAAAAAATGTGAAGTTTGCAGGGCCAGACTGGAGGTCTGGGTAAACTTGACAGATCTTAATATGATACATGCCACAAACCCTAACTTTACCCTAAAATCAGAAATAGTCAGGACTTATTTTAATTATTTTATCCCAATTTCTGAACACTATCCAATATTAGGTGTGTAGATTTCAATGTCATGCGTGCCCGGTGTAAATTTTCTCTGTATATACAATTATAATTATGTCATATTATTGTTATCAGTATTATTATTATTGTTATTGTTTTATTATATTATTATTATGCATTACTATTATACATAATAGTATTTCTGTTAATGTATAATATATTCTGTACAAAGAAAAAATACTGTAAGCTACAGCTAATGTTATCGTATACTTTTTAATAAATGTTATCATATAACTTTTGTAATGTTATCTTATAACAAAAACTGATGAAAACCTTTTCATTCTGGTTAGTTTTGTTTTGTTGAGTGCATTTATTTGGTTATAAGTTTTATTAATTTAAGTTTATCATTAATTCACGATGAATTGGAGTGATGAACAAACAATTTCTTATATTGAAATGTATTGTGATCAAAGTTTTTTGTGGGACCCACTAATTCACATATACAAAAATAAAAACAAAAGGCATGATGGACTTATGGAAATTGCGATTACTTTTACTTCTTTGTTGTATTTCTGGCATAACTGCAAATGTCACATTTACTTTAGTAAAATTTGAATACATTTTAATGAAGACATAATGAAAGCACTCTCAGATCTTAAGCTTCTAATAAAAAATGTATTGAATCTCAAGAAGCACAATTTGGTTCTTTGAATATGAGCCTCTCTGATCTTGGTAATTATAAATGTGGGTCTGTTAGCAGTATAAATTTAGAGGAGAGGACTACGAGAAGAAATTACTATATCTGCAATTACTTCAGTAGTGAACCTTGAACGGGTTGCCACATGGAAACAAATTTTCCGACCAGCGCACCTAATATTGGACTTAACAAACTTAAAAAAATGTGAAGTATGCGGGGCCAGACTGGAGGTCTGGGTAAACGTGACAGATCTTAATATAATACATGCCATTTGGGGAATACACCGCTGACTATACTCCGATCCATCCGTCCAACCTATATGAATGTTCAAGAAAAAAGGAAACATATTTAGACGAATGGTCTCTAGGGGTCAGCGCGCTGAGCGGTGCGATGAGTGACCTACGTTGGCGTATGTCATTCCCAGGCTTGGCAGACAGCTTTAGAAATATGGAGCGAATTTATGCCGGGGCGTACGACGTTGACGACTTTAGGGAAATCGCTTGTATATATGTATATATATATATATATATAACTAATTACAGACCTATTTCCGCTCTCATGTTTACCTAAACTTTTTGAACAATTAACCGAAAAATTTATATCACAACCTTAAAGGCATTTATTATTTATAAATCAACACAGATTCAGATCAGGATGGTCTACTATAACGAATTTACTACGAAAATGGACTTCGAGTCGATGTTATTTATACCGACTTTCATAAAGCATTTGATTGCGTAAATCTTAATGTCCTAAAGTTAACTTGAATTTATCTTCCAAGTTACTAGTCCCATCTGGTGCCCCTCAAGGTGGTCACTCATGTCCCTGTTTGTTTTTAGTACTTTTAATAGATATCTCGGTTCTTGTTTTAATTAAAGCCAGTTTCAACTCTGCAGATGACCTTAAACTCTACTAGATAATCCGATTTTATGATAATACAAACGTCAACACTACTAGACTATGGCTTTTATAGATAATTATTTTGATATTTGTGAATAGAGGCATTTAATTATATAAACATATCCATATACACAATAATATATAATAATTGTGTGGTTATGATTATGCCTGTAGGGAAAAAAATATATATAAAATAAAAGTCAATGCTTTAAACACAAAACCTTATAAAACTAGAATTTGTATTCTAAGTGTTAATTATTTTCTAAATGAAGTTGTCGATAATATAAAAAAACCTTATTTTCAATAATTTGTTTTTTAATTTATAATCATTATAGTATTGTACTTAGTTGATATTTGAAATTGAACTATATGTTTTATAAAGTATTATTACAATTACTGTAGGTAATGCCGTTAATAAACATACATTTCTTTTATCACTCGATAAACTCTTAATTACACCAAAATGAAATTTGAAATTAAACTGTGTCACTGTCTTTAATAAATATATATAACATTATATTATAAAGATATTTTTTTTAACCAATTCTCAATTTCATAGTTTTAGAAATTGTACACATTATATCATACCCATAACGTAACAGTAACAAGACAAAAGTTTTGATTATTCTGTTGTTGACAATGTTGTCATAGTCAAAGGCAATTTTTTAAAGCGTGTATTCTTGATATGACAATACGTCTATATTACCAGAATACTGTCCGCTAAATTTTAGTCGTTGCCAAATCGACATGCAAAATATTTATAAAGTGCGTACTCTTCACATGGCGTTATGTCCATATTGCCAAAATACTGCCCACTTTTTGTTATCATTGACAACAATTCATGTTATTTTCTGAGCATACATTCCAAACATATGGAGATTAAAATATGTGCTACGTTATGGTAGTTTTTTTTTTTTTTTTTAATAAGAATTATGTAGCAGTATAAATGGTTGACTATTATTGTAATTTTCTTTTTATATTTTTTATTAACAGTCGTTATTTGTTCTTAGTTGTACTATATTAATTGACTGAAAATAATGTTCAGTTTTTAAAACACAGTTAAGAAAAACACACATTAATTTCAAATTATAATTCTAACTTAAGTACAATTCATTTTCTTTTTTTTTTGCATTAAACAATAGAAATATCAAATGATATTTCTAACTGATAGAGAAAATCAATAGTGTACAATATATATGATTAGGTACTTCTGATTATAATTATCGAACAACTTCATTTACAAACTCTGCTAAAATTTAAACTAATAATTTACATTTTGATTACTTAGTTTAAAACATCAACTATGTTATATAATATACTTTTTTCCATTTCATTTAGTCAAAGAAATTATAGTTTATTTATACATATATATATATATATATATATATATATGTATGAAATATTTTTTACTCAAATACTTTAGGTACTCAAGAAAAATTATTTGTTCTTATTTATCTTAAAAAATTAATTAGATGTCAAAGAAAAAACCATAGACCGGGCGTGTTTTAATGAACTAAATTACACTTTTGTATCTGTTAATGCATTTAATTTATAAGAGATTAAAAAATGCACTTCCAATTCTCTTAGTAGTTAGTATTGTCTAACAAATACTTTTGTAAGGGACGCTACCATAGAATAGATAAAAATAGAAGGAACTCTTTCAAAGTAAACAAAAACATGACGGTCATGTTGAAAGGGCGTCTATGTAGTACTATCAGTTTAAAATTTTGATATTTTTAACTTATTTTATAGTTGATAGCAATAAAATTATGTATATATTTGATCCTCCAAACTTGATAAAATCAACAAGAAATATGTTTTTCAAACATTATTTAAAAATTGGTGATGAAATTACTGACAGTATCTACCTCATACAATTTTATAATGAAGATAATCAACTCAAAATAAGATTGGTTCCTAAGCTTACTCGCATACATCCTGGGCCATTTGAAAAAAATAGAGTCTAATTGGCCGCCTAGGTGTTTAGCGAGTCTGTAGTTGTTAGCATGAATACCTAATTAGCATTGGGTGAATTAGAAATTGAATCCTATATTGAAATTCTGAACTTTTTCCAAATATTGATATTTTATTAAAAGTACTATCAACACTACCAGTTTCTACAACAACTCTTGAACAAACTTTTTCTACATTGAAACTGGTCAAGACATTTTTATGAAATTCTACATGACAGCCTAGCTCTACTAAGTGTTGTTGAAATATAATTAATATTCTAAGCCAGTGTAATATGTCTAATTTAGTATTTCACTTATGTATCTGAAATCTTAGAAAATTATTTTATAGATATTGACTTGACCTAGGTATAGGATATAAATAAGTTTGTACGTGGACAAAGCGATACACTCATTATACAGCTAGTATATCGTCATTATGCTTGTATCTATAGATGTATGCATTTTTCTATGATGTATTTTACTTATAATTTTCATTATTATTAGTTTAACTGTTATAACTTATATACAATACTAACTGTATTATTACTTCAATTGTTTGTATTATTTCTTTTGTGTTCCTCTTAAATTATTTTAACAAGTGTCCATAGAGATATTACGGTTAATGCTGAACAAGTTTGAAACCAGTTTGCTAGTCAAAAAGAAAGAAGTATATTATTAGCTTAAAATATATTGTATTTCTGTAAGTCCTCTTTGTATAACTATATTTTATTTATCATGTTTTGTGGTGTACTAGTGGAAACAGTACTTACAGTAAATTATTAATTACACAAGGTGACAGGACGTCAAGGTAATTTTCTTTATTTAATCATATATTTTATTAAAAAAAGGATACATTTTTTCTTATTTGTATCCAAATTATCCCGGTATACTAAATTTAAAAAAAAAATTAAGAAAAGGAGAATGTAAATTAGTAATTACTAAAAGGTCTAACATTTAAGCTTGTAAGTGTAAGTGTAAGTGCAAAGGTAAAGATAAAGATGAGAGATGTTCTTATGTTATCTACAGTTCATATAATACATAGTATGAAGACAACAAATAAAAATAATACAACGCAATAAAACCAAATTGCATATTCGAATACAATACCAATATAGCAATAATTAACAAAACTTATATAATGATGAGTTTCATTGAGACAATAAAAAAATAGGTAAAGTGGTACAAACAATTTTTTTTTTTACTTATTACGTGTAGCGATTATGAACTTGGAAATTATATATTGTAAAATTGTCAATAAAAAATTAAGTTAACCAACATATCGTCCTACATTAATCAATTAAAATTTTAAAAATCATACTACACCTTGAATCTACAAACCTTAATATATTATAATTCTTCATAGAATAAACTATAAATCGAAGGATGAGTTATAAGAATGAAGAAGACATAATAAATTAGTGAAGAGTGATTTAAGTCGGTATTATTTGGTACAAGTCGACAATTTTATAAGCCATGACTCCCACAAATATTACTTAATGCCGGCCCTGCAGTGCACGGTGCG